GTACTTCTTGCCACGTATTTATTGATTTCTAGTAAAGGTAATAAAGGTGCTACATTTTACAATGTGTAATAAAAAAGTTTACGACGAAACGACAATCTTATTCACCGTTTTGAGGGTTAGGGATCTTTTCCCCCACAAACCGGTCAGAAAAATGTATAACCTTTAAGATAAGATTGTGATCTTCTTTAAATTCCTTTGTTGTCCTGTTCACAGAGTATAGGAAGATATACTGACCATAAATAGGGTTTTTTTTTTTTGGTAACCCGTACAATACTTGATTGATTTATTTCATGATTGCAAAATATCCAGCTTCGGATTTACTAACTAAAAAACAATTTCTCTATCTATTCTCATTATCCAAAAGGACCAAAACACACACATATCTTACTATATACATCTGTGAGTGGTTACCTTTGTACTTATAAAGCCAAAAACAGCACATCCAAATAGATTGGTTTACTTCGGTTCTTGCTTTTGGTTCGGTCTTGATTTTACTTTTAATTGTATTATCAGAGATCGACCATGATGAACCTTAAGAGATACATAACAAAATAGTATATTTTATTTCCTTAGACGTAAAATGTAGAGTATTTTCAAATAGCATATGAATATACACAGATTTCTTTAAGATTAAAGAGCTTTAAATAGTTAATCTGATATTATTAAGAAAAACATGATTTGATTGACTCATTTTCTATAATATTTTCTCTCATCACATCTATGTTAATGCCTTTATGGTATAAAATTAATCTTGAATATTAAGTTTCCATTTGGTTTTCGTTTTTTTGTTTAGGTGTAAGGTAATAAACCAAAATAATCAAAGTTTTAACATTCCTGATCTGGTGGTACAGCAAGATTTGACTGTGTAATCCAGAATTAATGGGGAAAGAGAAATCAAGACTGTGATCCAAAAAATATTACATGGCCATACTATTTTTTTTCACCTAATCCTTGTTTTGCGCCTCTGTAATTTCGAAACACAAATCCCAATTTTAGACAAGTCTGGATCTCAGTTTGTTCTGTGACTTTACCATATCTCTTATAAATCTGTGATCTCATTCATCTTTTATCCAACAGGGTCTGTCATTTCAAGCAGGGTCTCTGTCTCCTTCTTCAGCTTCCTTCATGTTTCATCTTTAACTT